TGTACACCTGGTAGTTGTCATGATTGTACACCTGGTAGTTGTCATGATTGTGCACCTGGTAGTTGTCATGGTTGTACATCTGGTAGTTGTCATGGTTGTACATCTGGTAGTTGTCATGATGGTACATCTGGTAGTTGTCATGGTTGTACATCTGGTAGTTGTCATGGTTGTACATCTGGTAGTTGTCATGGTTGTACATCTGGTAGTTGTCATGGTTGTACATCTGGTAGGGAAGACAATAGAATGTTATCGTCTGTATTTGTCATGATTGTACATCTGGTAGGGAAAACAATGGAATGTTATCGTTTGTATTTGTCAGGATTGTACAACTGGTAAAAAAGACAATAGAATTTTGCCATTTGAGGTTGACATGATTGTACAATTGATATCAATAGATTGTGGCATATAATGAATGGAACACCACAGATTCTAAAATTTTGTGCAGCATTGTCAGTGACTTCAGCAAAATTTTGTTATCACGAAGGCCATCAAATCATAAATGTTCCTGGCAGCAAAAATTAAGCGGGTTTAAGTATACTCTGTGGAAGACTTTATTTTTGCTGGATTTAATTTTCGCTGAAAAGGCTTTTTGAACATGTTGTATGGAATTTATTTTCACTGATTTTTGATGAGTTTAATGTGAAATGTAGGAAAAAAAGTATATATATATATGGTCTTTATTTATAATAGAAGGCCATCGGCCCATAATATCTACATACATTATTTATATTTGAAAATAAAATTACAATTTTTAAACAATTGACAATACTTGTAGCTCTTTTCGCAATTTCATTGCGTGAAAAGTAAAGGCTCCCAGTCTTTGAAGAAGATCTGTATTTTTTTTACCCATTAATTTGTAATATTTACTGACTGTTGGGGGGATTAAAAAAGTTAGCAGGAATATACTTTATTCTTAAATTAACAAAAAAGTCACAAAAAAAGTATATTCGCTGGATTTTATTTTCACGAAATCATCCCTTCAGCGAAAATAGCGAAAATAAATTCCAAGTGAAAATAAAGTATTCTTACTACAGTATTTCAGTCTACATTTCCAAAGATATGCTGATGATGTAAGGAGCTACATGTATAAAAGTTAATTATTTCGATGGTGATTGGTTGTATATTATGCATGTGTAGTATGGTTGTAATGGTGTATGTTAAAGCGAGAGGGTCGTCATCTGCACCCAAATGACAAAATAACAACACATGCTAAAAACGCAAAGGCTCATGGTAGACGCTTGTTTGTAAACAATGACACGCTATGGCCATTTGACGTATGCGGAGGTGACGACTCCCCCGCTTTAATTCATGTACTCTGAGTGATGTTGCATGTTTTATTTTTTTGTTTTCATATCACAGGCACGGATATTTGCTAGATATGCTATAGAACATACAAAACAGAACCAATGTGTGAAAGTGGATTATTATACTCTACCATCCCCTAAACTTTTATTGTTGGCTGGTATGTGTTATGAGACCTGCAAGACAATCACCACCTCTACTTGTCGACCATCTGGTGCAACGTTTCCTTCACTGACATTCAAAGATCTTCTAGAGTTGAGGTGTACAGCAGAGAGAGTGTGCTCTATGAAGGGTTTATACATCACTATTGATGGCTTAGTGACCAATAATTCAATGTCAATATTAACAGGGTGGTTGAATCACTTCTTTGGACTGAACCACTCGATAGCCTCTATCAGGGAGTTACTTGGACATGCTCAAGAGACATATTACTGTTATTTGTACAGACAACCTGATCAATATCATCACAGTAGTTGGCATGATATGAAGAAGTACCTGAATTCACATATATCTATAGTGGTGAATTTTGCTGCACAGTATTCTATTACTTCTGATGCTGCATTCAAAGAGATGCCGTTTTCTCAGATTCTGGCTAAGAGCGCTTATGCTAACATTCTCTGTGTTGTTGCGGAAACTAATAATGATATCATTATGTTTGGGTCCAATCATGATCATTCGTATTCAACTGACAGGCAGCCTATCATGTAAGTGATTTTGTTACAACTGTGTGTTGAAAGTTCTTCTTTAGAGTATGGTAATAATATAATACTATCTTTATTGATATTATTCACTTTTAATAGAACATCATTTTCCAAATCACACTGTTTCGCTAAAGCCCGCCATTCATACCCAGCCCACAAACCCATGCTGCAGTTAAATTGAGTAATTTGATTGGACGTGCAAATGAGCTGGAACCACCAATCAGCGTTGCTGTATTATAAATGTGAACATCTGTGGTCATCACAGATTAAAATAATGGCGGCGTGTCCACAAGGAGTCGAGAACAAAATGTTTATATTACCATTATGTTTAGAGTGGTATGACCTGGGTACCAGTATGTTAATGGTGGTATGACCTGTGTACCAGTATGTTTACAGTGGTATGACCTGGATACCAGTATGTTTATGGTGGTATGACCTTGGTACCAGTATGTTTACGGTGGTATGACCTGGGTACCAGTATGTTTATGGTGGTATGACCTGGGTACCAGTATGTTTATGGTGGTATGACTTGGGTACCAGTATGTTTAGGGTGGTATGACCTGGGTACCAGTATGTTTATGGTGGTATGACCTGGGTACCAGTATGTTTACAGTGGTATGACCTGGGTACCAGTATGTTTACAGTGGTATGACCTGGGTACCAGTATGTTTACAGTGGTATGACCTGGGTACCAGTATGTTTACGGTGGTATGACCTGGGTACCAGTATGTTTACAGTGGTATGACCTGGGTACCAGTATGTTAATGGTGGTATGACCTGTGTACCAGTATGTTTACAGTGGTATGACCTGGATACCAGTATGTTTATGGTGGTATGACCTTGGTACCAGTATGTTTACGGTGGTATGACCTGGGTACCAGTATGTTTATGGTGGTATGACCTGGGTACCAGTATGTTTATGGTGGTATGACTTGGGTACCAGTATGTTTAGGGTGGTATGACCTGGGTACCAGTATGTTTAGGGTGGTATGACCTGGGTACCAGTATGTTTATGGTGGTATGACTTGGGTACCAGTATGTTTAGGGTGGTATGACCTGGGTACCAGTATGTTTATGGTGGTATGACCTGTGTACCAGTATGTTTACAGTGGTATGACCTGGGTACCAGTATGTTTACAGTGGTATGACCTGGGTACCAGTATGTTTACAGTGGTATGACCTGGGTACCAGTATGTTTACAGTGGTATGACCTGGGTACCAGTATGTTTACGGTGGTATGACCTGGGTACCAGTATGTTTACGGTGGTATGACCTGGGTACCAGTATATTTACGGTGGTATGACCTGGGTACCAATATGTTTACGGTGGTATGACCTGGGTACCAGTATGTTTACGGTGGTATGACCTGTCTACCAGTATGTTTAGTGGTATCACCTGGGTCCAAGTATGTTGATGGTGGTATGACCTGGGTCCAAGTATGTTGATGGTGGTATGACCTGGGTACCAGTATCTTTACGGTGGTATGACTTGGGTACCAGTATGTTTAGGGTGGTATGACCTGGGTACCAGTATGTTTAGGGTGGTATGACCTGGGTACCAGTATGTTTAGGGTGGTATGACCTGTGTACCAGTATGTTTAGGGTGGTATGACCTGGGTACCAGTATGTTTAGGGTCATATGACCTGGGTACAAGTATGTTGATGGTGGTATGACCTGGGTACCAGTATCTTTACGGTGGTATGACCTGTGTACCAGTATGTTTACAGTGGTATGACCAGGTACCAGTATGTTTATGGTGGTATGACTTGGGTACCAGTATGTTTAGGGTGGTATGACCTGGGTACCAGTATGTTTACAGTGGTATGACTTGTGTACCAGTATGTTTAGGGTCATATGACCTGGGTCCAAGTATGTTGATGGTGGTATGACCTGGGTACCAGTATCTTTAC